GGCGGCGGCGGCGGCGGCGGCGGCGGCGGCAGCAGCAGCAGCAGCAGCAGCAGCAGCAGCAGCAGCAGCAGCGGCGCACGCCTTTAATCCCAGCACTCAGGAAGCAGAGGCAGGTGGATCTCTGTGAGTTCGAAGCCAGCCTGGTCTCCAAATTGAGTTCCAGGAAAGGCACAAAGCTACACAGAGAAACCCTGTCTCGAAAAACCAAAAAAAAAAGACAAGAGACTCATGTAGCCCAGGCTGGCCTCCACCTTGCATGACTGGGTCCTCCTGCCTCTGCCTCCCAAACACTGTGATGACAAGCACACTTCAGTCTTTGTGATGCTGTTTCCTCCGGCTTGCAATGAGACTTCTAATGTGTTCACAGGCCCCGGGAAGTTCCTGAAATTTACACGACTCATGGGAACCTGCCCCCCCCTGCCCCGCCCCACCCCACCCCAGGGTTACACAACAGCAATAGCTGCTGGGGAGAGGGGGTTTTCTTCCTCCAGAGGCCAGTCATGCAGGTGTTCCAGGGGTTTGTGATTTTTCCTGTGCTGGGATGGACCGTTCAGAGATGCTGCTGCCTCTGAATCGTCTATGCTCTTCAGTAACCTCTCTCCAATACTCCGGTGAGTAGTCTCAGTAAAGTCACTGCTTCACCAAGGCAGACTTAGGCAGAGTCCTTTCTTTGGTCTGTCTGTCCTTGGTGCCCCTATCTGGGATGAGGAAAGGTATAGTCATGTCTCTTTAGAAAAAAAATCACACAGCAGGGTATTACAACTGGCTCCTAATTTGCAACTCAGTTTTATTGTTATTTTGTTTTTGCTTTTTTTCTTTTCTGGTTTTTTGAAACAGGGTTTGTCTGTGTAGTCCTGGCTATTCTGAAACTCACTTTATAGACCAGGCTGGCCTCCAACTCAGAGATCTGCCTGCCTCTGCCTCTGCCTCCAGAGTGCTGGGATTAAAGTCGGGTACCAACTTGTGAGGCATATTTCAATTCTTGAGACCAGAAGACAAATGTGTTCTATGCATGTAAACTTATGACCCTCTTAGAATTAAGGTTCTCATCCCTGATTCCTTAATCGGTATGCTACTAGTGGGGGGTGCCTAAACCTCAGTGGTGGGCTGTGAGCAAATTCAGAAACCATTTGTTGCATTGCAGGAAAGTGTTAGCACCTTCCCTGGGGGTGGGAAGGCACTCCAGGACTTGAAGTTTTGTTGTGTTTTGTTTCCGGAGCTGAGGACCAAACCCAGAGCCTTGTGCCTGCTAGGCAAGTGCTCCACCACTGAGTTAATTCCCCAAGGACATTTTTTTTTTTTTTTAGTTTTTCCAAGACAGGGTTTCTCTGTGTAGTTTTGGTGCCTGTCCTGGATCTCACCAGGCTGGCCTCGAACTCACAGAGATACGCCTGGCTCTGCCTCCCGAGTGCTGGGATTAAAGGCGTGCGATACCACCACCCGATTGTTTGGTTTTTGTTTTCA